ACCGCCGGAAGCCGGTAGCTCCTTCACTGCACTTCTCGATGTCGCTCCTGCACTCACCACAATCTGACGATACTCCTGCGGAACTTTCCGGTGAGGTTTGGAATAATCATCACAATCCCTATCATATTCAGTCACTCAATTGTACTCCGACGTTTCCGTCCAACACTGCTCTACTTGATCATGCTTCTAAGTTCTCCGTCTTTGCTGCCACAGTGAACTCACCAGAGATGAGCTCAATTCCGTCCAATTCGAGCGGGAATTCGCATAAAGTGAAACCAAAACCGTTTGATTCGGATTCAAATCATGATTCATCACCGATGGCGTTTGTGAAGGGAAAAAATCCCCCTTCCAGTAAAAATCGTCCACGTCATCACATTACAAAATTATTCTAGATACCACAAGGGCCCAATCGGTGCCAAGCCCAAATTGGATCGGACCAGTCCAGAGCAAGCCCAGACAAGGCCTTAGCTCCCACATGGATCGCAGACCCAGGCCACCCGGCCCAACTTCTAAGCCCAGACGTCGACAGCCCGTAACACCAAGGGTGAACTCCAAGCCTATTAGCTGAAACGTCTGGGTTAGCCCACATTTAGCCTAATTGTGGTTAAAGGAAGTCCAGTCTTGCTAGGCCAAGGAATCACAAAAAAGAACAAGTTCTGTACAAGGAAAACTCTGCATGGAAAGAATTGTAAAAAGGAAAGGATTATAATTGTAAAGAAAATCATATATGGAATGAATTGGAGGACAAGCCATGCGACCAAAATTCCACCACTGTATTTCTTATAAATAAAGGCTTAGACCTCCAATAAAAGGATCGAGCATAATATACATGTTCTGAGTTTTATTCTTACTTGTTTTGAGTAAGTTGTATTTTTCTTTTTATTTATTTCAATAGAGAGAAATTTTGCACCTACACTTTGGCGCCGTCTATGGGAAACGTATAGAAAGATACTCCCACTTTTGTTTCAAATTAATTTTATTTCCACGAACTGGAATGTCAAACGGAGAATTAACGGTGGCAGATCAACAGACGGAGTTGATGCAAAAGATACGAGAAGAGTTCTTGCACCAATTCGAAGCGCTTTGTGATACCCCTCAATTCTAGAGCCATGGGTGATCAAGTCCGAGCACAGATCTAAGGGATACAAAACAATTAAGTATATAAACAAGCATTTGAATACAGAAAAAGAATAATAAATAAATAAATAAATAATAAGCTGAAAGAAACTAAATAATAAATCCTTATTTTAAAATCCTCAAATAAATAATAATTAAAAATCCAATAATAAAATCCTCCAATCCTCGGATAGTAGTAATTAATTAAACTACAACTCAGGAATCCATATTGTGGACCCCTAATAATATCCTTACTGAAATAACTGAACTGAAATAAAACTAATAATTAAACCACGAAGAAGAGTCTTATGTAGAGTCGGAAGAGTGAATGACTATCTCTGCTCGACACGAACAATCTCTAAGACTGGAACTGACGACCACCTGAAAAATAATGGTGGGTCAGACCCACATACAAGTTATAATCTATTACATCCCAAACAGAGACCCGATACACGTACACATCCTAATTAATTCAACAATAACTAAATAGTCCATAAATAGATATATACACACTAAAGGAACCTCACTAGACTATAGAGTTGTCTCAACCTGAATAGTAGGCAACATGCAAAACGCACATATAGTGAGCATGAGTACCTAGACCTACTAGGGTACACAACTACACTATATCTAACTACACATTCCTGGCAATATACGCACCCTAACCACTGATCCTGAGACTCAAGCTCACATCATGGCGTATACTTATATATGTAAAGTCCGTCATATCCAACCATCAAAATAAACTATCCAATTATTATTTTAATAATATGTTATCCAACTATTCCGTTGACCTGACATGAATAAGTAGGACGTAACCCTATGGTTAATCCGTTCCCTTATTAAAAATAGGTAGGGCTTAACTCTTAAGTTAATACATCCCTAATATGCCCCCATCCCATAATGGTGCATTAATCCATATCATAATCAAATATAAGTTTCAAATCCAATGATAATGTAAATAATGTTTACATATAATAATCCAAATAAACATGATATAAACCATATACACATCATTTGCATTTACTTGAGTAAAAAGTATAAATTCTAAGTAGCATGCACTTAATTTACATCACAAAAAATTAAAATGCATCTCAACTAAATTGTACATCTCCATGTTTTGATTAAATTAATTTAAATCTAAGCGTTGACTAAAATAATTTAAACCAACAATATCTAATTAATTTATCCTTCTAAAATTAATTAAATTCCATACTTAGCATGTAAACTTAAATCATGCATACCAATTCTTAATGAATCTATTTAAATTAAATAAATATTTAATTCAAGTCCATCAATCAAAACTAACAAATATTAATTTAATATTCTAACATTAAATAAATTAATATTAAAAATATTTAATGCAAAAACTATTTAATCAAAACAAAATAAATAAATCATTATATTAATCATAATCCCAATCATTATATTAATCATTATATCCATAATAGTACCAATCATTATACCAACCATGGCATTATATAACAATCTATTTTTTTTTTTTTTTTAAAGGAATTGTCAACAACTTCCTCGATTGGCGTGCTCAATGAAAGAAAACAAATTCCAAACCCAGTTTTATGAATTGCTACAATTAGATTCAAGCCACTTTCTAGCTTGCCTCGTTCGACTTGCCTAGCTTGTAAAAACACTAATTTTGACTTTACTCACATACAAACTAATGCATGGAAAAAATAAAATAAATAAAATAAAAACCAAATTTAATTCATGCTAACATAAGTCATGTAAAAAATAAATAAATAAATAAAAATAAAAATAAATTCAACCCAAGGCCACCAACAGTGTAGGCAAAAGAAAAATAATTAAAACCCATGAACTGAAATTTCAAAATAAATCTATGTAATTAAATCAAATTAATTTATTTAAAGAACCTAGAATTAATCTAGCATGCATAGAGTATGAATCAAAGGAGAAGAGAAAAATTAAAACTTGCCTTTAGGGATTTGATAAAAAAAACCCTATCCTCCTTCTTCCTTTTTCTCTCACTTCGTCTTCCTTCTTTCGCTCTCTAAAATATATTAGTGATTATTTTCTAACCTTTTTTTACTAACCTATAACTATATATTTATAGGCAAATAAAATCACCCTAATCCTTTTTCCAATCCAAGTCAAACTAATAATAAAAATAAAATAAAATTTAAATACTAAAAAGGTAACTAAAATATATTTTACATACAATCTATGTGTAATCCTTTTTATATATAACATATAAATATACACATCAGATTATTACTAAAGAACTTTCCATATATATATATATATATATATATATATTTATTATATATACATATACAATTATCCATAGGTAATTATTCGTACCCATTAAACCCCTTATCCAAGTAGTTCACGAAGCCTAATTGGTTGGTCCATTACTACTATCCATATCCAATTCCTTAAAAATATAAAAATAAAATAAAAATAAAACAATTAAATTCCTAAACAAATACATATAATCACACACAATTTAATTTAAACGAATAAATCTAAAACATATTTCAGCACACAATTTAATTTAAACAAATAATTCAATTAACACCTAAATAATTAAATCAATTAAATAACTAAACAATTAGCCAAGAAAACAAATAAATAATTAAAATGCAATTAAAATAATTTTAAAAAAATACTGAGATTATCCTTTTAAAATCAGGGGTATTACACGCTTCGTTAGGCGAATGAAGCCAGCGTAGGCCAAATTGCATTACTTTAATAGCAAAACGACACCCTTCAAATGGCTATGGCTTAGTTGACACCTCAGCCGCCACCAGTAGACAGGGCTGTACCTCCTCCCAACCAAAACGAGCCTCGGGTCAATGGGGTTCGGCCTAATGAAATTCGGCCACCACCAGTTGACGTGGCTACGCCTCCTCCCAATCAAAACGAGCCTCAAGTCAATGGGGCTCGGCTTAGTGAAGTTTAGCCTACCGAAGTTCATCAAGACTAGAGGGCCAGGTCCGAGGCGGTAGCTTTGGACAATCTTCCTCGTCGCACACAGGATGAATAGGCCGAATCCAGCCGTAAACTCACGGTATGGTCTAATGGTGTTCCAGATGGTGCAGGAGTAAAAGAGGCCTTTGACGAGAAGAGACTCTTGAGAGTTCAAATGCCTGCAGAGATGGCCAGGGAACATAAGAACTCTCTTGTGAAGACTTCATTCACTAACGATGTGTACCTTATTAACAGACCTAAGAAATTCACTATGCCTACTTTTACCCAGTTTGATGGTATGGGAGATCCTTCTCGGCACTTAGATCACTACGCACAAAAGATGGCTCTGGACGATCACAATGACCCATGGATGTGCAAAGTTTTCCCTACCAGTCTAACGGGGGCTGCGCTGGAGTGGTTCAGGAATAGGCCACACATTTCTATTCCAGACTACGAAACTCTATGCATTATGTTCCTGGCGCGGTAATAAGAAGCAAAAGAAGAGTATTGTTAGCCTTTTCACTATAAGGTAAATGAAGGGCGAAACATTACAAGACTTCTTGTCTAGATTTAATATGGAGGTTTCGAAAATAGCAGATTGCCATCCTGCTACCGCAATAGAAACATTCAAACTTGCAATGATTCAGGGAACCAAGTTCCAAACTTCCTTAGTTAAGTATTCCCCTCCAGATATGCAGACTCTCAATGCTAGGGCACAGATCTACATCCGGCTTGAGGAGAATGTGGCCCACTGAGCTAAATATGCCACCCTCTTTACGGTGGAGAACAAGCCTCAGGAAAGGGTTTCAAATTTAAAAAGCCGAAAAAGCCAGCACGCATCGGCACCAGCCGTTCAAATACCCAAAAAAAGGCAAAGGACAGAGGAAAGGTTCACGCCTCTTCGCACAACCTTGGCTTGGTTGTTCCAGAAGAATAAAATGAAGTTTGCAACCCCTCAGCCAATAAGGCAAGCATTGGAACAGAGAGACAAAACCAAGCATTGCGCTTACCACAGAGATTATGGGCATACAACTAATGATTACAGATCCCTTAGGCGGCAAGTGGAAAACATGATACTGAGAGGTGAATTGGCAGACTACCTTACAATAAAGGAGTACATGAAGCCCCGGGAGGTCAACCCTCGGAAAGTTGAAGGTAGTCAAGTGAAGGTCATCTATGCAATACATGGAAGATCAGAGGATGATCAGGAGTCAGATGAGGTTTATAGATCCTGACTGAGAATAGCTCATAAGCTGAGGAGGCTATCCTTAGTAAACGTTATTGCTTCTGGAAGCATCAATATTGGGTTCGGCGATGGAGATCTATCTAGAGTTCAACTCCCCCACGAGGATCCGTTGGTTATCAATCTCTTGGTGGCGAATTGCATAATTAAGAGGGTTTTGGTAGACCTAGGGAGTAGTGCCAACAACATCACAAAGGCGGTCTTTGAGCAGCTAGAGATCTCGTCATCATCAATTCGGTTTACCTCCAACCCATTGATGGGGTTCGATGGTACAAAGGTGGATCCCCTTGGGGTGATTGACTTATCCGCAACTGCGGCAAAGAGGATACTGAAGGAAAACTTTGTCTTAACAGAGATCCACCCTTCCTATAATCTTATTATGGGAAGAGGTTAGATCCACAGAATGAACTGGGTTCCGTCTACCCTTCACCAGGTGATGCGATGTTTGTCTCCGGACGGGAAAGAGATTATAGACCTCAGGGGAGATTAAGTAACTGCCAAAGAGTGCTACATGTTAACACAGAATGAGGCAAAGAAGGTAGCGAAACAGTCCCAACCGATCACACCTCTAGGAAGCAAATCCAAATAGCAATTACAAAATCCTCTGCCCAGGTATCTGGAAGTAGAGGATGAGGCCGAAGCGGAAAAGCCTACTGAGGAGTCTCTGGAAGCTGTCGAGATAATCCTCGGCGATCCTCAGAGAATCACCTACATGGGTTCTTCCCCCATAGTCGAAGAAAAAGAAGCATTAATTAATGTCATTTGACGAAACGCAGATGCATTTGCTTGGGAGCATTCAGACATGGTCGGGATCAATCCTTCAGTCTCATGCCATAGCCTGAAGGTGGATCTGGCATACAAACCAGTCAAGCAGAAGCTGATAAGCGCCGAATATTGCATATTCAAGCGCCCTAAATTGCATTAGTTAAGTCCATTATTTGATTTTATTATGCAGATTATCTTTATTTGTGCATTTTTGCTTATTTTCAGGTTCATTAGCTTAAAAGAAGCAAGAATGATGTTTTTGTTGAAATTTTGAATGCAAAGTGCTCAATGCTGAAGATTGGCAGCAGTGGAACCTGACTTTTGTCGCCATTTTTGACCTAGTAAACTCAAGAACTGGACTTCCATCATACATTAAAGATTTAGATCTCTGAATCAGCTTTCCAAATCTTCAAGCGGTTCATCATTCGGAGTTCGGAGCAGAGAGTTATGATCTTCTTATTAGAGGTGCTCAGAACTGCCTAGCAGCAATGAGTTTCTGCCTTGATCTTCAATTTTGACAAATCATACTTGAGAATTGGATCTCCACCAAAACATAAAGTTTTTATAGATCTAAATCAGCTTTCCAAATCTTTAAACGGTTTGTCATTCGGAGTTTAGAGCACAAAGTTATAGCCGTTTTACCAAAGTAGGTCCGAGCGAAATAAAGCAAGCATGGAGCAATCTGCTCCATTTTCGAGTGCTCGAGGCCCTATTTCGAGCACTCGAAATTCAGGCAGAATGTAGCTCGGTACTCCTCATTTTCAGCCACTTCCTTCATTGGTTTCCTCAATTTGAATCTCCCTCTTTTATGAAGTGGTTGGGAATGTTTTTGGAGGAGAGAGAGGGATTTGTTGGAGGAGATAAGGCAACCAAAGGCCTCACATATCTAGGGAACATATTTTTTACAAGATTAGAGGAGAGAGAAGAGAGCAAAGAGGGTGGTGTTCTTAAGTGCTACAGTATGAACTCGAAAATGGAGATGGAGGCTTCTTCTTCTTCTTCATTCCTTGTAGTCATGGGTAACTAAACCACACCTAGGGAGGTGATGAAGCCTCCCCTTGTTGTTCATGTTGTAGATTAGGCTATGTTGGGGATTATGATGTATACTTTTGGCATTTTCATAGTTAGAGCATATCATCTCATGTAATGAACTCTAGCACTTTTAAATGATTAATGCGAGTTTCTTTTGCTTATCTTAATGATTTTTGTATTAATCTTATTGCTTGCATTCTCATAGTGACAATGGGAATCAAACTATGATTTGTTTTCAAGGCATGTTGTTAGAAAAATGGATAGTCCATTACTTAGGAATTTCCTTTGATGGGTTATGCTAGTTTCCTACCTCATGTGCTTTATCATTTGGTTATAAACTTGATAGTTCTTGCTTGAGTGAATATGTTGAGGGCTACACTTCAGTTTAGGTAGCTCAAATGTATGAATTTTTGAGGGATTATTCTTGTTTAATGATTTAATGAACTTTTCCAAGAGTGTATGGTAACATAGTGTTGCTATATATTCCATGACCATTTTATACATTGTACCTCCCCAATTTAGCCTCAGTCTAGCATGTACTTAGGGTGTAGTGTGGATTCATCTTCCTAGTATTTTCTACTTATATCTCACTTCCTTTAATTTAATTGCAATTTATTGTTTTATGCATTTCAATTTCTTAGTTTAGTGACAAACACACAAACCTTTTATAAACCTCCCTCACTCTAGCCATGTTACTTGTAACAATGTCCCAAGATAATCTAAAGTATAGCAAGTTCAAAACTCATGCATAATTCTTAAGGCATATACACCACCTTCTATGCACAAGTATTTTGAAACCACACAAACCATGTCTTAGGGCTTCCAAGTCTAGAATGGCATACCAAATGACAAGTCCTCATCATAATCATGCACAATACCATACCACTAACTTATCATTTTAAATCATACATTAACAATAAACTTTATATACTAGATTACAACATTATAGTAACAAGCTCCTAAAATAATTACAATTACTAATAGTAATCAACTAGAATGTAGGATTAACATCACAATAGTATAGTAATTCAAATCAATAAGAGTTCTATACAACATTAATAATCCTACTCAAGATACATACACAATGTACATGCTTAATTCAATAAATCCTAAGTCAATCATAAGGATTTCCTATAGTATGCAATACTACAATTCTAAAAGCATGTACACAATATATATTAAACCCCAAAGGATTATAAAACACTTAGAATATAAACATACTACCACCCCTACCTCAATAGAGAATTGAATCTCTATAATCCAAGTTACCAAGCTCAAAATGGAAAACAGGTTTAGGGTTAACGAAAAGGAGAGTGAAAGGAAACTTTTGTCTCCCAAGGTTTTAAGTCTAAGGTGAGTAGAAGGAGGTCAAAATGAAGAAGAAAGCTATTAACCAAGCTTTTCTCCAATGGTGGCTAGGTTAGGGTTCTCGAAGAACAAGTGAAAATGAAAAGGATAAAGTGTAAAATGGTGAGTGGAAGGTCTAGAAATCCTCCACTCACTATGTGTTCTTACACTACCTCTCACACACACACAATGCAAGACTAAATGGTGAGCTTACACTTGTCACAAATCCAAGACTCCTTCCTAGGCTTAATCCTAAGCCTATACTTGTCAACCATCTAAGCCAACAAGTGCTCCAATCCTAGGCCAACAAGTGGGTGAATCTCCACCATCCAAATGTCAAAAGATTATGCATCCAAGTCACTCCAACCCATTGCCAACAAGTGGCACCATGAGAATGTGACACTTGTCACATTTTTCAAATATTGCAAAAATATCTTCTAAATTAAATTGCAAAATGGTCCCTAAAATGAAAAATAATTATTTTACATAATTACATTAAAATCCCAAAAATCAAGAATAATTACATTAAAGTATATATTCATGCCCTTTACGAAAAAGTAAGTAACTACAATGTATTTTCTATAAAAGTAAAAATACAAATGTCATGGAAATCAATTATCATGAATGCATGCAAAACCGAAATAAATCAAAGTACAAAAAGTGAGGTTATGCAAGGAAAAACGATAAACGGAAAAAAGACGAAATAGAGAAAAGACAAAATAGGATAAAAGACGAAAAAAGAAAATCACCGGAAAAAGAAAAGGAGAAAAAAGGACCGGGTCATTACAATATAGTTATTGCATGGGTTAGCTATAGATATATAGTTTCTTTGGTCTCTATTTGGGTTGTTGTATAAAGAACTTGTTCGTAGGCCTGACCCACTATTATTTTTTTCAGGTATTCGTCAATTCCAGACATAAGGTTTGTTTGTGCTGAGTAGAGACAGTCCACATCATTCTTCCGGTTCTACGTAGGACTCTTTTTATGTTTTAGTTTCGAATTATATTTTTTTTTTTCAGTTATTTCAGTTGGAATATCATTAGGGGTCCACTAGATGGATTCCCGAGTTATAAGGATAATTTAAGTTTTTGGAAATTCATTTGGAGGATTTATTAATTATTTTTCTTTTCTGCTATTTTATTTATTCTTAGTTATTTCTTTTGTAATCAAATGCTTGTTTATATACTTAATTATTTGGTATCCCTCGGATCTGTGCTCAGACTTGTAATACCACGATATTTTAAATGATTTATTAAATTGGGATTAATTACTTTTATTTTATTTTTACATGATTTATTTGATTTAATTTGAATTAATTGCGTTTATTTTAAGTTTTAATTGATTTGTTTTATTGAGTGCTTAGATTAATTATTTTATTTTATTTCATGAATTATTGATATGATGATTGTTGTGTGTGTATTTAATTATTGATTGAATTGTTGGCGTGTTGATTTTATTGGTATGGTATGATTTAGTTGTAAATTCTTGTTTGTTTATATATTTTATGTAATTAGTTATTTTAATTTAAGTGTTTATTTAATTATTTTATTTATTTAATTTAATTGGGTTGGACTTAAGGAAAGTTGGACCAAAGAATATGGTCTTAGGCTTGAATGAAACCTTATTGGGTTAATTAATAAAGCCCATGGTTTTGCGATTATTTAAATAATCATTTTTGTATAATTATAAATATATATTTAATTATATATAAATATAATTAATTAATAAGTGTTATGGAAGAATATATATATAGATATATATTTATGAATATATATAGGTATATATGATTTAATTAATTAATAATTAATTATGGAAGGTAATATGCATATATATATTATATATAATATGTGTGTCTAGATATATATATTAGTTAATGATTATTAGTTTCATTTTATTTAGTTGTCATTATTGGAATAGGATTAGGTATTAATGTATATAAAAATACACTTAAGGTTTTATCGATAAAAGTTTGTTACGTTAGAAAAATACGAGATGCAAAGAGAGAAGAAGAGAGGGCTGACAAGGAGGATGTCGGATCTAAGAAAGAGGATTCCGGAATTGGAAGAGTGATAAGCGCAGAATATTACATATTCAAGCGCCCTTATTTGCATTAGTTAAGTCCATTATTTGATTAATTTATATAAATTAACTTCATTTACATGTTTTTATATATTTTCAGGTTTGTTTCCCAAAAAGGAATAAAAATGATGTTTTGATGAGTTCTTGAATATCAAAGTGTGCAATGCTGAAGTTTACAGCCTAACAACAGTGGAGTTCGACTTTGCTCATCATTTTTGACTTAACAAACTTGAGAATTGGACTTCTATTAAAACATGGCATACTTAGAGCCTTGAATTAGCTTTCCAAATCATCAAACGGTTCTTCATTTGGACTTCGGAGCAAAGAGTTATAGCCTTTTTACCAAAGGTGCGCAGAACAGCCTGGCAGCAGTGAAGTTCGAATTTGCTCTTCATTTTCGACCCACCAAACTTGAGAATTGGACTTCCCTTAAAACATTACATACTTAGAGCTTTGAGTTAGCTTTCTAAATCATCAAACGATTCATCATTTGGAGTTTGGAGCAGGGAGTTATGGCCTTTTTACTAAAGGTGCACAGAGATGAGGAACATCCGCGGGCGCCAGCGAGAAACCCACGGGCACACACCAAAATGGGCAGCGAGCTCATGCGCCTGCGGGCACTTGCCAATTTGCAGAGATCTGCTCACCCACTCCATGATTTTTGCTCAAATTTGTCCCCTTTGACTAAATGAAGCTAGGCTTCCTGTTAGGGATTTCTAAGCCACGAATTGGGGGAGATAGATAAGATTTTTAGGATATATTTGGTGGCTTGTATCATGTAAAAAGATATCTGTCATTTTTGTAAGGTTCTAGAGAGAGAAATGAGTGTTCTTGAGAGCTTGGCTTGTGGGTGGCTCTTAGGTGCGAAAATGGAAGGGTTGGCCATCTCTTCTCATTCCTCCATTACTCATATGGGTAACTAACTCCCTTAATAGGGAGGTGATGAAGCCCTTTTTTGTAAGCATGCCTTAGTTTCATTTAATTTTGGTAATGATTCATGTATATGGTAGTTTCATGATTTAGAGCACTTACACTAGTTGTAATGGATTTTAATGCCTATAAATGATCATGTTAAGTTCATTATCTTATCTTAGATTTTATCCTCTCATGATTATATAACTTGCATCTTCATAGTGAGAATGGAAATGAAAATTGTGAAATGGGTTTAATGGCATGTTGTATGAGAAACTTGATATTTTATAGCTTAGGGCCTTCCTTTGATGGATTACTCTTGATTTTTGACTTCATGTGCTATTATCATTTGATTGAGGGTTTAATAATCCCTAGCTTAGTGAGCATGTTATGGCTACACCCTAGTTTAGGTAGTTCAAGCATGTGGAACTTTGAGGGGTTATACTTAAGTCTTAATCCTATGAACTTCTTGAAAATAATGTAGCAATCTAGTATTGCTACATATCATTGTCATACATTGACATTGTTTCCCAAGTTGATTGCAATCTAGCATGTTTATATGGAAGGTAGTTGATCCACTTCCCTAGTCCCTTCTACATTATTTTTATCTCTTCAATTCCTTACAATTATTGTTTTATGCATTTTAAATTCCTAAGTTTAGTGACAAACCAACAAAGCTCTTTACACCCTTCATCATTCTAAAAGTGATTCTAAAACCTTGGTTGCCATAAGCTAACAATCCCTGTGGTTCGACCTACCCAACCAATAGCCCTATTTTACAATGATTTGTGCTATTGCAAAGGTTGATGTATAATTGTCATACCGATCAAAGAGACAATCAAGACTTGAAGCGTCGGTTTCGTTTCGAAACCTTCAGGCGAGTTCTTCTCTAACTTTCCTCTTACAACCTATAAGGATTTCACCTTGAGTATCAAAGTTTTAATTAAATTATTAATTTAAATCATGGTTAGATCGGATTAATTAAAAGCATAAATTATTATAATTGATCTTTTGGAATTTTGGATTTTAAATTGATATATATTAGGTGTTGTATATATATTTTAAAATCAATGTATAGGTGGATTTGTGACCCAAGAGGATTAATTAGGGTTTCTATATTTTCTGGAATTTATCTGTAATTTTTTGGAATTTTTAGATTAATTTTAGAATGTGTTTTATATTTTTGGAATTATTCTAGAATTATTTTCTATACTATTTTGGCAAAATTATATAGATAGTTTATATATATATATATATATATATATATATATATATATATATATATATATTACAACATTGGTGGTGCAACAATAGGGTAGTAATCCGGTGTAGGACGGTACATGGAATGGTGGTATACATGTTAATCTAGGCATTGGATTATTTAATCTTATTTGGATTGATCCGGTGCATTACGGCGCATGGAATGATGGTACACATACTGATCTGGGCCATTAGATTATTTAATCTTAAGTGGATTAATCCAGTGCATTACGGCACATGATAAGATGTTACACACGCTAATCTAGGCCATTGGATTAATTAAAAATAAGTAGAATGATTCGGTGCATTATGGCGTATAGAAAAGGGTACGCATGTGCATCTGAACCGTAGATGTGGTCTAGTCAACATAGAAATAATCTGGTGTGGGCGAGTTCACAACAGCTGAAAGAGCTCAGCCAACACCAGCACACATGGAGGCTTGGATCCAGCGCATACAAGTACATGCTAAGCGCGTGGGCGTGCGTAGGATCTCCCTGTTGGCCTGTTTCGACACTTAAAGTTGAAATAGTCATAACTTAGTCATCTTAAGTCGAAATTAAGTCATTTTTGAGCTCAAATTTAAGGATTTTTCGTCCTCTTTCCAATGATACTAATTTCATTATCAGATTCCCATCAGACTAGGAGATATTTACGTTTTAGTGAGACGGTGTCGGAAAATTATTTACCGAGATGGAATATTTATGGGAAATTATTTCTGACGATATTTAGTGGCATTTAAATTGCATAAATATAATTCAATTAATATATTATTATGGAAAGAAGTGTATATATATATATATATATATAATTATTTATAAATGTGTATATATGGTTTAATTGTTTAGGATAAGTATGGAGGGATGTGTATATATATATATATATTGATATATATGTATATATACGATTTAAATAATCAAAGATTATTATGGACGGTATTATACATATATATATATTACATAATATATATGTATGCATATATATATCATTTAAGATGATTAATATCAATTATTCTTATTTGGTACATCTGGATAGGCTGGTTATTAAAGTAATGTTATGCTTATGAAATGTATGAGATGTCTATGTGTGATTTAGCTCATCGTTAAGTTTAAAGTTGATACATGGTTGAATTGTAGGCATGGATAAATTGCCAAATGCTTGAATATATGACCTAAATATTTGTTTGAATAAAACATATACATAGGAAGTATGGATGAGTTGCTAATTAAAAGTATAAATATATATACTTAAGGAGGCATGGTTGAGTTGCCAATATATTAATAAATATATTTATAATGGCATGGTTGATTTGCCAAAGCATAAGTTAATGGCTACGTATATTAGATGTTTAAATTCCATCTATAGTTATTGTATGAATAGGTTGGATTATGATTTGTTATTCTTAAATTATAATAATTGAGTATTTATAAGTTAGTGTATTATTTTATATATATTAATAAAATAATATTGGAGAAGGGATAGATGAATTGCCAAGGTATAAATCTTTGCGTTATGATTTAAATAAATAAAATCATTCATTAGTGGTTATAGGGTTTTGGATTAAATGAATTATTTCTTAGATTATGGTTTATTATTTAAATGATTAAATAATTATTTAAAATGGAATTAAGGGTAAAAGGTTTCTCTTTAAAAGAGAAGGAGATTGTGGATTGGTTTAAGTAGGATTATGTTTTAATCTTGGTTTAATGGTTTTGAAAATTAATGAACCTATTAATGGATGTAAAGGTTATATTGTATATAATTATTTATACATATGCGTATCTTTATTAAACTTAAAACTTTATTAGGTTTGGTTTTGATCAGAGATGATCTGCTTATTGGTTTTCAGAAGCCTAGTAGAGAGAGCTTGCTCGTAGGGTTTAACCCACGATTTATTTTTCGGGTTATTAGAAGTTCAAATCTCAAGGTTGAGAATCCGTAACTGGAGGACTTATCTATGCTTTCTATTTTATTTCAAAGTAGGATATTATTACTTCAATAATTATTAATGGATTTGTGGATAGTGAATTTTGATTAAGGAGTCCTTGAGTTACGGGATTCCGTAGTTGTAACCATTGGCGAGTTATTAATGGAAATTATTATTTATTAGTTTTTCTTGAGCGTATTATTTATTCTTTTATTTCATTTTTTAATCTGTGCTTGTTTAAATACTTTAATTATTTTGATATCCCCTTATTTTGTGCATGGACTTGATCAACTTGTGTTTCGAAATTATGGGGTATCACAGGACTTGATCACCCGTGGCTTTAGAATCGAAGGGTATCACAGTTGGTATCAGAGCACTCTAGGTTCAAGTGTCTCTAGGGATTTATGTTTTAAGACATTCACGTAGCGTATTCTTTTATTTAGAGCCTAAGTTTAGGATTCATTGTATTCCTTTATGGTCCGCTTAAATCGTACTAATGTCGGTCTTTCTATATTAACAGAATGGTTAACACTAGAAGAAGACAAGACAATCAAAGAAACATGTAGCGAAAAGGAGCGGCACGTAGGCAGCAGGAATTCCTACGGCGTTAGCAAATAGAGGAAGAGCAGCAACTGCCTGGGTTTCAGGAGGAAGATGGTGAGTTGCCCATAGAGCAGGAGGAAGTACAGCAGACTACTCAGGAGTCTCAGGATCGGGGCTACAATCAAGGCAGGGATCCAGAGTTCCCGCCCCATATAAATGACCTCATTGCTCGGGCTATAGAAGCAGGTATAGCAACTGCACTTCGCAATCAGCTATAGGTTCAGCAGGCACTTATCCCAGCACCAGTGGTTCAAATTGATCCTTAAGAGAAGGCTAGGAGTTCTTTCACAAGGGAGAGCCCACCTGAGTTCTCAGGCTCCACCGATGCGAAAGTAGCTCATCAGTGGAAGAAGGATATTGAGCGACATTTTCGCATGGTTAAGTGCACAGAAGTTTAGAAGTAGATGGTTACTACCTTTAAGCTTGTTGGAGATGCACTCTAGTGGTGGGAGTCAGTTACCATCGCGGAGGAGAGAAATTCATTGACCTATGATTAGTTTAGTGCTCGCTTCGATGAGAAGTACTTTCCATATACAGTCAGGACAACTATGAAGACAGAGTTCTTTAATCTAGAGCAGGGGAACATGACAGTGGCAAAGTATGAGCAGCGGTTCACGCGCTTATCTCTATTTGTTCCAGAGGAGGTGGATACTGAGGAGAAAAAATGTAATAGCTTCATTAAGGGGCTTACGTGGTCTATTAAGCAATCTATTACAGGTAGTCCAGCTTACACTACTTATGCTCAGCTGGTAGATGCTGCTCTATAGCAGTATCAGTTGACTGTAGACTTCAGACAGGCTAGGGGTAAGAAGCGGGGTGATAAAGACTCTGCAAATCAGCCAGCTGAAAAAGGGAACGGCAATGGACACTGAAACAATGATAAGGGCAAATTCTAGGGACAGTATTTTTAGAAGAAGCACAAGGGTGGTTTAGATGCACATAGAGATAAGGCACCTATTTAGAGGCAGCAAAATGAGGGACCACAGGCAGAATAGGGTCAACCACAGGTTAACCAACAAAGGAGAAAATTGGCACTTTCTAAGGGAGTTGCTATACTTGTGGAGAGTTTGGTCATATTTTCAAGCAGTGTCCTAAAGTAGGACAGGGACAGAGACAGCATGTGTAGCAGGGACAGAGGGTACCATTACCTTTACTTGCTCCACAGATTCCACGGATTCAGGGACCAATCTTTCCGGCTTTACCAGCATCGCCACAACCTCAGGGATTGGCACTGCAGCAGTTGCATTATGGCAGGGTGTTTAACCCCATGCCACAGGATGTTCAGGCACCTCAGGCTGTTGAGGGTATGTTTCCTATTCATGGTACACAAGGTCGTGTTTTATTTGATACGGGTGCTAAAAATTCATTTGTATTTAAATTTTTATTGCATTTTTGGGGATGATGACGCGAGTATGCTGTAGACCTCATGGTATTTCTACACCTTTAGGCGATACTGCCATTTTATATGAGAGTGATGGGCCTGTAACACTAGATATTGGTAGACTCAGATTTCTAACCAGTCTATTGGTCCTGGACATGCACACTTAAATTATGATACTTGGGATGGATTGGTTATCTCACTACCATGCCCAAGTTAATTGTTATAACAGGTCTATTATTTTTACTATACCTGGTTAGGATATATATGTCGTTGCTATGCCACGTTCTAACGGGGTTTCTAGCACTTATTTGTTTTATATGGAGGAGGAGATTACTGTGTTCTTGGATAGCATACCAGTTGTATAAGAATTTTTAGATGTTTTTCAAGAGATTCTAGGGTTGCCACCTAGTCGAGAGATAGACTTTGTTATTAATTTAGCTCCAGGCACTATGCCTATTGCTAGGACACCATACAGGATGGCACCAGTGGAGATGCATGAGCTGAGAGATCAGATTCAGTAATTGCTCAGTCAAGGTTTTATTCATAAGAGTACTTCGCCTTGGGGAGCTCCAATTTTGTTTGTGAAGAAGAATGATGGTTTACTTCGCCTGTGTATAGATTACAGGGAGTTTAATAAGGTTATTATTCGTAATACGTATCCTTTGCCCAGGATCGATGATCTTTTTGATCAGTTGAAGGGAGCTACATACTTCTCTAAAATTGATCTACGTTCTGGATACCATCAATTTTGGGTTAGGGAGCAAGATGTTTCTAGGACAGCGTTTCTCACTAGATATGGCTCTTATGAGTTTCGTGTCATGCCTTTCGGATTGACTAATGCACCAGCAGTCTTCATGGATTTAATGAATAGAGTGTTCAGGGCTTACTTAGATCAGTTTGTCATCGTGTTCGTTGATGATATTTTGGTCTATTCTAAGACAGAGGACGATCATGCTAGACATCTTCATACAGTGTTGCAGGCGTTTCGTGAGCACTAGTTATATGCCAAATTCGAGAAGTGTGAATTTTAGCAACGAGAAGTCAAGTTTCTGGGGCATATAGTGTCAGAGAAGGGGACAGTGGTGGATCCGGCTAAGGTTTCAGCAGTGGTAGAGTGGGGACATCTTACTTCACCTACTGAGATTCGTAGTTCCCTCGGATTGGCAGGATACTATCGTAGATTCATTCAGGGGTTCTCGAAGATAGCGGGACCACTCGCTCATTTAACTAAGAAGGGTGTACAGTTCATATGGGATGAACACTGTCAGAAAGTTTTTAATGAGCTAAAGAATAAGTTGACTTCTGCACCAGTTTTGTCTACTCCACAGAGCCAGATGGATTATCTTGTCTACACAGATGCTTCTTTGCAAGGTCTTGGGTGTGTTTTGATGCAGGAGGAGCGACTAATTTCGTATAGATCTCGTAAGCTTAAGCCTCACGAGCTTAATTATCCAACATATGATTTGGAGTTAGCCGCTATGGTCTTTGCCTTATGTATTTGGAGGCATTATCTGTTGGGAGAATATTTCAGATTATTTAGTGATCATAAAAGTTTGCAGTATTTGTTCACTCAACGGGAGATGAATATAAGACAGCGCCGATGGTTAGAATTTGTGAAAGACTATCATTTCTCTATACAATACCATCCAGTGAAAGCGAATGTGGTGGCAAACCTTCTGCGAGTCTTTCTGTATTATTCACTACTGAATGGAATGCGTTGAAGACCGTTGATGAGTTGTCCGATGCTTTTATAGCGTGTATGGTAGTTACACCTTCGATCATTTATAAGGTATTGAAGGCACAACTCACAGATCAGTAGTGCATTGATAAGGTTACAGAGATAGCTTCTGGGGATGTTCCAATCTATTATGTTGGGACTGATGGAGGCTTGAGGTACAAGGGGCAGTTGGTGGTACCTTATGCTGATGAGTTGAGGAAGAATGTGATGACTGAGACTCACCGTTCTGAATTTTCTGTTCATCCAGGAAGAGACAAAATGTATCAGGATATGAAGCGATAATTTTGGTGGGCAGGAATAAAAAAAGACATTGTTATTTTTGTCTCTTAGTGTAGTACTTGTCAGATGGTCAAGATTGATCATCAAAGACCGCTAGGTTCTCTACAACCACTACCTATACCAGAGTGGAAATAGGAGAGCATTTATATGGATTTTGTTGAGGGATTACCTAATTCATTTAAGGATCACAATTCCATTTGGGTCATCGTTGATAGGTTGATCAAATCAGCTCATTTATTGCCTATTCGCGCTGATTACACTTCAGAACAGTTGGCAAGACTTTACATTACAGAGATTGTGAAGTTACATGGCATACCATTATCTATTATATCGGATAGGGATTCGAGCTTTGTATTGGGATTCTAGAAGAGTTTTCAGCAGGCTTTAAGTACCGAGTTACATCTTAGCACTGCTTACCATCCTCAGACTGATGGACAGACCGAGAGGGTTAATTAGATCATGGAGGATATGCTTTGTTCTTGTGTCCTTGACTTTAAGGGTCATTGGGAGGACTATTTGCCACTTGTGGAGTTTGCATATAACAATAGCATTCAGAAGACTATTGTATGGCACCGTTTGAGGCATTATATGACCGACCATGTCGATCTCCTGTTTGTTGGATAGAGGTTGGAGAAAGCAAATATTTGGGTCCTGAGTTCATTAAGGACACCTCTGAAAAGATCGCTCTTATAAAGGATCGTATGCGCACTGCCCAGAGTAGGCAGAAAAGTTATGCAGATCGTCGTACTCATGCTTTGGAATTTCAGGTGGGAGATCAGGTTTTACTCAAAGTGTCTCCTATTAAAGGAGTAATGTGCTTTGGGAAGAAAGGAAAGTTGTCACGACGTTTTATCGATCCTTTTATGATTACAAATCGAATTAGAGTGGTAGTTTATCGCTTAGCACTTTCGAACAATTTAGATCGTGTCCACAATGTGTTCTATGTTTCCATGTTGAGGAAATTTCTTCGCGATGAGGATCGTTATCAGCATATTGATGTTGGTGAAATTGAGTTGTAACCGGATGCAACCTATGTGTAACTACCGTGTCGTATTGTTGACCGCAGGGCTAAGATTCTTCATAATAAGGTCATCCCTTTGGTATGTTTCCAGTGGAGTCATCACAATGAGGTTGAATCTACTTGGGAACGGGAAGACGTCATTTAATCAACCTTTCCAGACATAATGGATGAAGGTAAAGGCAAATTCCGAGGATGGAATTCCTTTTGTTAGGGGGGAAGAATGTAATACCCCTAATTTTAAAAGGATAGTCTCGGTATTTTATTAATTGTTTTAATTGTGTTTTAATTCTTTATTTGATTTCTTGGCTATTTGTTTAATTGTTTATATGAATTAATTGATTATGTGTTTATTTGAAGTACTTGTTTAGTTGAGTTTTGTGTTAGATGATGTATATTTGTTTATTTGAATGTTAGGTGTTTTCTTATAATTAATGTTTAGGAATTCAATGTTTTAAATGATTGTTTTATTTTATTTTATTTTAGTGGTTATGAATTTTAGTCATGGGCCAACTAATTAGGCTCCATGGACTACTTGGATAAGGGGTTAAATGGGTACGAATAATTACCTATGAATAGTGTGTGTGTGTATATATATATATATATATATATATATATACATATATATTTAAGGAAAGTCATTTGGTGATAATCTAATGTATTTATTTTCCTTAGATAAAAATAATATACATATATTATACGTAACATATATTTTTAGTTACCTTTTAGTATTTTTTTATCATTATTTTCTTTATTAATTTGAGGTGGATTGGGAAAAGGAATAGGGTTATTATTTAACCTA